TCATCTTTTTGAAATTCAGCTTTCTGACAAATCTCATTGAGGTTGTTGCATTGTGAAGTTTCATAGATCAGTGTCTTCAGTGATTTATATCTTCACATTAATTTGAGAACTCTTACCATTTTGAGGCTGCGCTGGGTCTATCTGCAACTGTTGGCTCTATTGGCAATAGGAATTGAGGTATTAGACCAAAAGATGCATCATCAGTGTACTACTTATGTCTTTTATAGAACATTTTGTATATGTAGAGATAATAGGCCAGATCATTAACTATTTTAAATCTGTATAGCCTCATTGACTTCAATGGAGCTACATAGATTTACACCCGCTTGAAAATCTGATCCAGTGGGCCAATCCTCTCATTGAACTCAATGGCTAAATTCCCATTGACTTCAGTGGGAGCAGGAGACCCAGTTTCTTTATAATGGGATTTGATCTTTGACTATATTCTGTTTAGCATGTATATATTGTTATAGGGTAACATTATTAAGCATCTTTGTTTGAAGTATCATTTTTGAGCAAACAATGCTCAAATATGTATTTCTATTTTAGTTGACAGTGTGAATTTTCGGTAATGCAACCTTGTCTCCCAAGGACATCAAATTTTGTAATTCAAAGAAGAGCGAGAAGTAATTTCTTTGTTCTAAGCATTGTATTAGATAAAGTCATTGATTTCTGCAATTTACTTTGATAGGAATCACATTGTTCCCACCTCTGTGGTGAAGTGTCTGGGGTCATGCTTTCCTACACACTCTCCTTTAACAAGCTTATGAAGTTGGCAGTTAGGATGCCCTTGTATGGGTGTTAAGATGTCCTTCCATTACTAGACTTCATTCATTTGTGTTGTATTTTTGTCTTTAAAAGAGTCATTCATGCTGGCATTGCATCAAAGATGAGTCATTATAACAAACTGTTCTCTGAATTGGTTGATAAAGTTTTACATGGATTTCCTGATTCAGGACAACTTGAAAAGGGAAAATGGTTTGAATGTATTGTTCAAGCCATTAAATCATTACAGAGCATGTGCTATATATTAGAAATAAGAAAGCACCTCTCAAAGTATAGGCTGATACACAATACCTGTAAGTCAGGTATCAGAGGGGTAGCCATGTTAGTCTGAATCTGTAAAAAGCAACAGGGGGTCCTGTGGCACCTTTAAGACTAACAGAAGTATTGGAGCATAAGCTTTCGTGGGTGATGCCCACTTCATCAGACGCAATGGACATTTCCAGAGG